CTGGTTTTTAAAAAGTCCCCCTCCCCCCCTTTTTTTTTTTTTTTTTTTTATTTTTTTTTTTTTTTTTTTTTTTTTTTTTTTTTTTTTGGTCAGGGTAGTCCAAGAGACTCCCAAACCAATACAGGCTATTGCCATAACTCTTGGTTGCTTCCCCAAATTTAATATAAAACCCTGTTGCTGAAGATACCACACATTTCAGACACAGGATTTGGGAGAGGGGAGCTGTAACTGACCTGGAAGCTCCTCCCTGAAGATGAGCTCTCACAGTATCAGAGGACACTATTGGAACTCCAAGGGAGAAAACCAATGATCCTACTCAGCTGTGAAGCCTATGAACCACAAAATGATAGGCCCAGTAAAATAACCTTAATGATGCAATGGTGGTACTTTTATCTTGGGGGTTACAAAAAACTGTCTAATTTGACTTAAGGCCTGCACACATGCATACATGTGCACACACACACACACACACACACACACACACACAAAACCAGACACAGAGAAATAATATTTTTTAAATGTATATACATTGCACGGTTTAAAAATCCAGTAAAGAGGTTTTGTTTAAAAAACAAAGGAAGTTAAATTGATCCATCAGAGGACTCTGTTTCTCATTATACAATACTGCTATAGTTTCTCAGAGTTGCATTTGTTTAGTGATTTATATGAACTGCTATGGATCAATACTATAATTAGCCCTATTGTTTTGTTTAAATAATGACATTTAATGCCTCTCAAAGTAAGCAATATTGAATAACTCAAATACCCATCTATTGTCACATATTTTGTGAAAATGGTTTTATGTCATCTCTTAACTATGCTTTTACTGTAGCTGACAAGCCGTCTGACATGGTTGTGCACTGTTTCTAAACTCTGGTCACTTTATAACACCCACAGAAAAGCCTGACAAGACTTCCGTTGCTCGCTGCAGACCCCCAAATGGGAGGACAAAGCTCTCGGAAACACCATGGTCATTTAGTGATCCAGAAGACACGTGGGACCAATAGAACTTTTATTTCATTTTCCCATTCTAGTCTGTACTTATTTGATCTCGGTACCACTCGGGAAGAACAGACGTGAGATACTAAAGAGAACATCCGCAAAGATTAGTTTGGAAGCTTTACTGCAGGGGAAACACAGCCAGTGTTTAAAGCAACAGGAAGATAAGGCAGCCTGGAAAATTCAAGAGCCATCAGCAAAGCAATGACTATGGACGCAGTTCTAAAAGGCTGCTGCAGACAGTGCAAATCCAACGTGTGAAACCAGCTCTTCAAATGATATGAAAGGAAATGTCTGATTTAAAATTGCTCGAAATCGGGCACGTTTTTTCCTTAGTATACAATCTCAGTACTGATAGACTACTAAGAACTTAGCACTCTCCAATTTTTTAAAAAGTCACAAAAAAGCCATGTTTGTTGACAAAGTTGCTTTGTAAGATAGATTTGAACTTGTGATTTATTGTTACACATTGTATTTAATCAATAAAACGTTAAAGGCACCAACCAGGAATGTGATACAGGTGCCCATCATCAATACTTCCAAACTCTCCTTCCTTCTTCTCACAGAAAGGGGGGAAAAATCCTTTATTACAGTGGCAGTGTTGAAAATTATTACAAATCTGGAGAACAAAAAAGAGCAATTAAGTATCACAAGGTATCACATTCTGGGAAATATATTTTAAATGTCGGATTATTCAAATTCCCTCTTACAATTGTCCATACTTCAGAAACCACATCTAACATCTGTACCAAATCAAATCAGCATCATCCATTTTCCCCTAATTCTTTCAACCTCTCCACAACCAAACTGAAGCCACTCACAACTGCAAATAACAAACCACTAATTATCACTTCCTTACTAGTCTCACAGATAGTCCAGACTATAAATAAATTAGCACTAAGTTTCTAATGACTTTATTACTTCTCTCCTTCTCCCATAAGTACAGGGTCTCTGTGGGGACGTTTCACAAGGACTTCCTGCACCTCCCATAAATCCACCAGTACACATATTCATCAAACATTTTGTGCAGTCAGAATTATTTAAAATTTTTCCCCTTTATCTTTTCCTATGAATAGTGTGATAAGTTTCTTCAAAAGACAAAACTGAGGCTACAAACTACAGTGTGATAAGATAGCACCCAGCATAACAATGGCAAAAAATCCAAATCATATTTAATGCCCTGTTTATTGAATTATTAAATTCATGTTGCTAAAATAAATACTTACCCCATTTCCACTGCAAGTAATCGAAGAATCACAGCTTTTATAATCTATGAGAAATCTAGTTTCTTTGCATTCCATGTTCAAACAATACTAAAGCAAAGCAAAAAGTAGACAAAAATAAGGCCAAGCAATGAGATCAGGTATGGTTTAAACACAGACATTGAAGAAAACCAGAATTCATGTCGCCTAGAACCGGAGTTAAAATATAGGAGAATACAGCAATGACAGAGATTGTCAGTCTTAATATTTGAAGTAAGCTCTGTACTTTGAGCTCTAAAATTATGTAAAGATGCCAGGTGTGATACACATGCCTTTAATCCCAGCACTTTGGAAGCAGAGGCAGGTTGACGAGACCAAGGCCAGCCAGCTCAACATAGTGAGGTAGGCCAGATGGGGCTACAGGGAGACTCTGACTCCAAAAAGAAAAAATGATGTAAGGAGTTAAAGTTTTATTTTCATAACATCTAACATTAGAAGTCCTCTTGGAAAGGTAAAAAGCAGGAAAATCATTTGATTATTTCCTTACATCAATAATTATCTGGGAAGAAAAAATTTTTTAACTAAATATACCTGGATTCCATGTAAGATCATCAGGGCTAAGGAGGCCATGGAATCATGAGATGAGCTACAGACCACCGACTGTTCAATGTGGGAAAATGAATTGTGAGGGAGCTAGCAGATAATTATAGAAAACAGCAATACAAAAGAAACTCCCAATGCTGAGACAGATGGAAGTTCTTATAAGCAGGAGCATATTCAATGTGGAAATTTACATTGCTCTAATATATGTCACACATTGAACGACCTTTCCTAACTGTGCAAAACATTTAATCAAATTTAGCATTTTTGAAAGGGAATCCTAGTTGGGATTTTTGTCTTTGGATGGTAATAGTGACACAGTCTTTAGACATGGGAATTAGGACTCTGGCACAGAGGTAGGAGACAACACCATTTTTGATGACAAGGCAAGACAGGTTTCCACTCATACTTCAATCCCATATGTTTTAAAATGAACAAGATATTATAGCTCCATCATCTTTTCTGATGAGCTTATCAAAAGTAACTAATATAGAAAATTTGTATCAGGAGTGGGGTCGTTACTGAAATAAACCTGATCATGTGGTTTGTAGCCCTTTGAAACTGCTTTGTAGGAAGAATGTAGAAGAGTTTGAAACTTTGGGCTAGAAAAATCCCTAGAATGCTAAAGACAGAGCTTAATGGGTCATTCTGGAGGGTGCTTGGAAAATCGGGATGCTGAGAAATGTGAACGTGTGGCTCATAAGACTATAAGGACTTTATTGGCAACTTGACTAGTGGTCATTCCTGTAATATTCAGGAAAAGAATCTGGCTGAATTCTGCCCATATCTGAGAATCTGAGTGAAGATGAAGTCTACAGGAATGTATACTTTGTCATAGGAAACCTCAGGTTTTGTCATAGTCACTACTCTTACCCTGGTCTACAGAAAGAGAGCGATAAAGTAACAAATGGTGCAGAAATATATTTTAACTGCGCTATTTGTGAGGGTAGGCATGGTGGAGTTTAAAGTTGCAGACAAATCTGGTACTCACAAAGCAACTGTAATTATTAAAGATATCAGCATCATTAAATAGAAATGCCCCACTCTCCACTGAGACAACAGGAAATATGCCCTGAAGGCCCCCACATTTGAAGGTTCCATCTTATGAAAATCCAAGTATATTTGAAACAAGGTAACCTAAACTTAGAACGTGGATGAAGAGTTCTCTTCGCAAATGCAAGCATTTGGGCAGTACTTCCCAAGGGTCAGTACACAGAGGCCAAGGGGTCTGTAGTCCGAGAGAGGCAGGCTACATCTCAAGCTGGAAGCAAAACTTGACAGCATCATCCACATGGTACTGGTTTTCTAAGCAGGATAGGTACAAGGCCTGCTTCAAGGGCTCCAAAGAGCAGCCAGGAAGTGTGTGGCATGAGCATATTCGCTGTAAGGAGACAGAAAGATACCACTGCATGATGTTGTGAAAGTGAAACCTGAGTGAAGTTGAGACCCCAGAATGTCAGGGATGCCAGGATGGTGGGATATTCACTGTGGACAGCTGTGGGCCCACACTGGAGGAATAGATTGTTATAGTCAAAACAGGAGAAAAAAAAAACATGGCAGCCAGGACACTGCACTCAACAGCCCCATTTCTCAAAAACAGATAGTTTAGATTTTGTCAGACAGACCTACTACTACTGGTCAACATGTAGCAAATAAGAAACTGAGGAGGGTTCAGCCTTAAACAGGCCATCTGTCTCACATGCTCCCCCTCAAAGGACCAGGGATCATCAAGAAAGAGAAGGCAGAGTTTAAGAACCAGAAGCAGTAAATGAATACAACCAAACAGTGTTTTCCAGACACCACAGTGCAGTTGACATATGAACTCATAGTACTCATGACAGTATACGTAAGGACAGACAGAATGCCAGCATGGAATAGGGATGTGGACATAAAACCCCAGTCCCAGCTGAGAAGCTAACAGCCATTGATGACTCCTGGGAGAAGGAGAGTCATGTTCCTTTAAAGTTGTGATGCTAGGTACACAGGCAAGGTGCTAGGTACACAGTGGATGGACCCACTCCAAAGAAATATTTGGACAACAAAAACTGGACTTGATGAACTTAAAAAAAAAACAAAAAAGAGGACACAAAGTCATGTGGGTAGAGAGGTAGGACTGAATCTGGGAGAGATGGTTGAATATGATCAAAACACGTTATATGAAATTCTCAAGGAATTAATTTAAAAATATCAAAAAATAAAATGTTAAGAATTTCTTGGACTAGTGAACCTGCCCCCTCCACATACACACACACCCACATATGGGTGTCCATGTGTGTTGAAAGTGTTCATCCCCAGGCCTGCATAAGAAATGGTGATGGAGTTTTTCAAGGTAGAAGAAGATGCTAATTAGTAACATGAAAACATATGAAAGTAAACAACTCCCAAGAATAGGTAATGTCAAATTTAAAATACTCTAATGCTCTAAGAATAGGTTGTCAAAGTGTCGAGAATAAGCAACTGTGAGCATTCAGCCTTAGATGGAAGGCCTATATTAATCCCTCTACCCCTCAAGGCTCAGGGACGTTGCAGGAGATGGGGTGGAAATAACCTCAGAGCCAAGGAATAGGGAAGGGGTTTGAAATGCTGTCCTCTGGACACAACATGGCTGCTGCACACAGGAACTGATAGCGGCTGTGGTTGCCTGTACACGGTCAAACCAATAAAAACTCCTGTGTGGAGGGGAAGGGGATGCTAAGGCCCCATTCCCTGCTGAGGAGCCATTGGGAGTTTAGGCTGTTGGGGGAAAGAAAGTCACTTTTCTCTAGGAGTGTTACCAGCTGGTGGGTCCTCCATTCCCCAGTGGATGATGCCATACACATGCAGATATGGGCAGCACTAACTGGACTCATTCAGTTAAAAATACATAATTGCAGGGTTGGGGATTTAGCTCAGTGGTAGAGCGCTTGCCTAACAAGCGCAAGGCCCTGGGTTCGGTCCTCAGCTCTGAAAAAAAAAAAAAAGACAAAAATACATAATTGCAAAAAGAGTGTGACATGTGCTTGGTAGGTGTTATGGATGGTCCTGGAGTAATGAGAGAAGGAGAGAGGGGTGGGAGGTACACATAACCAAGTATATTGTACACATGTAGAGAATTTTCAAATAATTCAAAATAAATTAAACCAGGTCTGGTGGTGCAGGAAAGTAATCAGTAATCCCATTTACTCGTGAGGCTGAGGCAGGTGGATCACAAGTTCAAGACCTGCCTAGGCAATTTAATAAGACTTTGCCTTGAATTAAGAACTTAGAGCCAGACATGGTGGCGCAGGCCTTTAATTTCAGTACTCAGGAAGCAGAGGCAGGTGGACCTCTATGAGATTGAGGCCACCCTTATCTGCATAGTAAGTTTCAAGCCAGCTAGGGCTATAAGGAAACACTATTAGTAGAACATGTCTGCATTCCTAGCCCTGGGAAAGCTAAAGCAGAATGATCCCTGAAATTCACTATCCAGCCACTCTGTAACTAAATCAGAGACTAAATCAGCTCAAGACTTTGTCTCAAAAAGTGAGGTGGAAAACAACTAATAGATACCTGACATCAGTGTTTAGCCACCACACACGCTCACACACATGCAGGCAGGCACACACACACACACACACACACACACACACAAGAGCAAAAGGGACTTGTGTAATAGCTTACTGGCACACATATATACACAGCACACACATACACACATGTACACTTATAGCCATACACATACACACATAAATACAAACAGGTGCACACATACACACACATATGTATAGATACCAGCAAACAACATATACACATAAGCATGCACATACACACACAGGCATACATGCAGGCAGGCACACACACACACACACACACACACACACACACACACAAGAGCAAAAGGGACTTGTGTAATAGCTTACTGAGAGAGTATTTACCTAGCATGTATGAGGCTAGTTCTGGGGGGAAAAAAAAGAATGAATAAAATATAAAATTAGAACTCAAAATTTAAAAATTATAGAAATTAAACCACAAATAACCTTAAATAGTTAAAAGTAAATAATAAAAGAAATGATAAAATAGGAACAAATGAAAAGATAAATTCGACATGGTAAAAGTGCCAGCAATCCCAGGAGGGGAGTCATGAAAAGTCTCACATCAACAGATACTTGCAACTTAAAAAGCTTGTACAAAAGACAGTAAATAAACCTAAAAAAGAGAAGGACTAGCCAAGCAAAAATTAAGAGCACAAAGTAACAAATAGAGAAAAGTAACAATAAAATCAATGAAATCAAACACCAACTCGAAAAGACAGCAAACTGACAAAACGTTCTTTAGAAGTAGTCATCTTAAGAGAGGAAATTCAAAGCACTAAGATCAGAAATGGAAATCAGAACATCACTGCCAGTAATGTTCTGGCATCACTATAGTAATTGTAAGGGCTGTTTGTCAAACTGGGTAGAGCAGATGCAATACACCAATTCCTGGAAGAACAAAATCTACCAAGTGTTATGGTTTGAATTCTCCCATAAGTTCACGTTTAAAGACTTGGCTGTCATCTGTGGTGGTTTGAATAAAAATGCCTCCCCATAGGCTCCAAGAATTTGAACACTTGGTCCCCACTTGGAGATTCTGTTGGAAAAAGCATTGAACTTTTAGGAGGTGTGGCCATGCTGGGGAAGACATGGCACTGGGGCTGTGCTTTGAGAGTAGATCGCCATATCCCATACCTACTTGTTCTTTCTCTGCTTCCTGTGCCTGCTCAAAGATGTGAGCCTGCAGCTTTCTTCTCCAGCCTCCCTGCAGTGATGGACTCTTATCCCTCTGGAACTGTAAGCCCAACAAACCATTCTATCAGTAGTCTTGGTTGATGGTGTTTTATCACAACAAAAGAAAAGTAATTAATATAGAAGTTGGTACCAGAGGCTGGGCTGTTCCTGTGAGGATTTTGACCATGTTAGTTTGGGGAAAAATGTAGAAGACATTGGAGATTTCAATTAGAAAAGTGATTGAATGTTGTAAGCAGAGCTTAATGAGCCTTTCTACTAGAGTCCTGGCCAAGACGTTCAAGAGGGTGATGGAAATGAGGACTTAACAACTGGGATATTTTGTCAAAGTGTCTGACTGTTGTCTATCCAAGGCCTAAGAAGTTCTCTGAGGCTATCTTTAAAAGTAACAGACTAATTTCTTTGGAGGAGGTCATTTCTAGACATCCTGATATGTTGAATCAGTGGCATGGTAATTAATGGTGAATATTCAGCAAATCTACAATGGAAAAGACCGAGTACAAAAGGAAATGATTGAAGCACAGGGCTCTGACCTCAGAGTCAGATTAATCCAGTGACAGGATCATAATTTGATGGCATTACTGAGAGGTGCGGAAAATAAAAAGGCGGGACCTAGTTGGAAGAGCCAGGCTACCGAAGGTGTGCCACAGAGCGTGCACTTCAGCCCTGGTCTCAGCATCTCTGCTTCCTATCTGGTAAGATACGCCCCACCTCAGGCCGCAGTGATGACATTGCACGTCATGGACTGAAACGTCTGAACTCATGAGACAAAACAAATCCACCCCAACATTGTTTTTCCCAGGCTCTTTCTTCTCACAGTGGCCAAAACGGTTGCACACAACTGTGAATGAACAGAAATTCTGAATAGAACTATAACTAGTAAGGGGACTTGATCAGCCAGCAAATGCTTGCTGACAAAGCAAAGCCTTAGAACTGGCTTCACAGAGGAATTCTAACCAATATTTGAAAACTCCACCAATCTTTCTCAAACTTTTTTTTTAATGGAGAAAGAGGGGACATTTTCTAAGTTACTTTGTGAGTCCAGCATCTCCCCCTGAAAACAGAGATGCACTAAAAAAACTGCAAAATAATATCTGTGAGAAAAATGATAAAAAAGGTTCAAATGAGACACTAGCAAACAAAATTCGGCAACGTGTTATGTTCCATAGTCAAATGCAATTTACTGTATTCCAGAATACCAGGGGGCTTCAACATAAAAGATTAATGTGTCACGTTGACAGAATGAATGAAAAAAACGCTCATTCCAATTGATTAGAAAGGGTATCTCACAAAGTTCAACACAACACTCATTTACGGTTAAAAACATAAACAAACTGATAAGTTAAAACTTACAAAACTTTGAGTTCATATAGCAAAACTCCACAAAAATATCCTAATAAATACTGAAATATTCTCAATGGTTCTCCTCCAAGGACGCAGGTGAAACGCTGTGTTTACCAACTCTACTCAAGGCTGTGCTAAAAGCCTTGGTCAGAACAACAGGGAAAGAGAAGGCAGTAAATACCATCCAGATTAGAGAGGATTGAAACTGTCTCTGTTCACAGATGACACGATCATACTTGTACAACTCGGATCTTACATGTAGAATACATGACAGAGAACATTAAGAAGTGTCACTGTCTATATGTGAAATGACCTCTCCAGCTAGTGTTACTGTTTCGGGAGGCTGTGGATTCTCTAGGAAGTGAGGACTTGCTGGGAGAAGTAGGTCTGCAAGGGGTGGGCCATGCTGTGTACAAGCCTGCCCTGCCTAGGACGCCTTCTTTTCTTCCTGGTTTTCACGGTAACAAACCTGGGACTCCCTTTACCATGGCACTGTCCTGCCATAATTTCCCCACCATTATCTGTGAGTCAAAAGTCTTTCCTGTCTTTAGTTGCTTCTTTGTGATATTGACAAAAAAGTAACCAATACACAAACAAAATGAATTTAATGAAGAAATGTTTCATAAAAAGTGCTGAATCATAAGGCAGTTCTAGTTTTGTCTTTTGAGGAAACTCCGAACTGATTTCCACAATGGCGGCTCCAGTTTGGGGCTCTACCAGCTGGGAATAAGAGTCTCTGTTTTCCAACAAACTCACCAGCATCTATGTCCTTGGTTTGCCCGATGATAGACATGCTCATTGAGGTCAGGGAGAATCTCAAAATATTTCAAATTTGCATTTTCATGGTGCTAAAGATGTTGAACGCTTTTTAAATTATTTATTGCTCATTTTTTTTTCTTCCTTTGAGAACTATCTATAGAATTCATTAGCCCATTTGTTGATTAGATGATTTGGGGTTTTGCTTTTTAATTTTTGGAGTTCTTTATAAATTCTAAAAACACAACTAACATGTGGTCCAGGTAGACCAATCCTGGGTATAAACTGAAAAAGTCTAAGTTAGTATACCACAGAGATACTTGCACAGCTGTGTTGACAGCTTTACTGTTCACGACAGCCAAGACATGGACCAAGCCTAGATGTCCACCAAGAGGTGAGTGGACAGATAAAAGAAATGTGGTATTTACACACAATGAGATTTTAATCAGCGCTAAAGGAGAATGCAATTATGAATTTTGCAGGAAAATGGAACTAGAGATCATTATGTTAAACAAAATAAGCAAGACTCAGAAAGATAATATCACAACGTTTCCCTCACCTTCAGAGTCTGGATTTAAATTTATACACGTGGGGAGGGAGTCAAAGTAGGAGGACAGAGAGGCATTGAATGGGAGGGAAGGTGGAGAGGAAGAGAGGTAGTGACATGGGTGACATAAAAGCCAGAGGAGGGACCATTCAAGAGATGGAAGGGCACAAGAATAAAGGGTGGGTAGTGAGGGGAGGGGCAGGTAAGAATAAAGTACTGTTATACCTACGTATAAAATATCACCCTAAAACCCATTATTTTATATGCTAACTAAAATAAAACAAAAACAAAAAACAAGCACTACCAAGCTGGGCATGGTGCTGCACACCTTCAATCCCAGAACTCTAGAGGCAAAGACAGGCTGTGAGTTCAAGGTCAGCCTGGTGTGCATAGCTAGTTCTGGGTTTGCCAGGGCTCCCCAGTGAGACCTTGTCTCAAGAAAACAAAGCAAACAAATAAAACGTTACCAGTACTCTAAACAGGCAACACATAAAGGGGAAGAAGTGCATTTGAAAATCATGTGTTTGACAAGGTATCGACTTCCCAAATAGAGAACTCCTAAGTGTTGCAACAACCAGGTGGAAAATGGGAAAATTACTTAAAGAAATATTCCCTTAAATAAGATGCGCTACGAGGATGTAGAAGCCGCACTGTTGACTTTTCTGGTCACTGTGACCAAGATGCCTGACAAGAAGCAGCCTAAGAGACATTTTATTTTGACTCAAAGTTTGAGGGGCTGCAATCTGCAATCCATCACGGCAGGCATGACAAGTTTGCGGGGGGTGAAGCAGCTGGCCACACTGCAGCCACATTCAAGAAGCAGAGAAAGAAAGAAGCCGGAGGACAGGTGAGGGGTGAAATGCTGGTAGAGAGTACAGGACCCAAGACTATTGAATGGCCCCAACCACACGCAGCATGGGCCTTCCCACCTCAATTAACTTAATCTAGAAAACACTGATTACAAATATGCCAAAGAATCACCCTGTGGTGATTCTAGATGCTTCCAAGTGACAGTCAGTACTAACCTTCACAGGGGCTGTGTGAGATGCTGGTAGGAGTCTAAAGATGTAAACACTATGGAGACTAGCATGGCCATTTCTCAAGTCATCGAAAACAAAATTACCTTACATTTCCGCAGTCCACTTCTGAGTGTATACTCAAAAGAACTCAAACAGGACCCTGAGAGTTTTTACTTCGACATTCATGGTGGCATTATTTACTATTTACAATGGTTAAAGATTGCAAGTGTCACAAATATCCACGAGCTGACAAGCAGCAAAGCAACATGTCATATGTATGCACAACAGAGCAGTGCACAGCCTCGAGAAGGCTAGAAAACGTACGCACTGCTAGAGTAGAACTCGAAAGGTGGTTCCTGGGAATGCAGAGTGCAGAGAGGACGAGTGGTCATTCAGGGAGCAGAGCTGCAGCTCGACAAGATGAGATGCGCAGTGGGGATGCAGTGATGGTTGTGTGACACTGTGAACGTACTTAATATCCCCAAATTATATGCTTCTAGATGGCTGTGATGAAATTTTTATTATGTGCACTAAAATACACATAACACAGTAAAAAAAATGAAAACAGTGTTTGGTACATTGTCAAAGTGAGCATAACCACAAAATGATTTTAAAACAACTTAAAGTAGCTCAAATTACCATTTCAGGGCCACAGATAGAGCCATCTTCCACAAACGTCTCATCTCTGTCCTCTTTCGATAGATATGTTGTCGGTGTGTTCTTGGGTATCCGCCCACCTTTATATGTAGATATACATATTTCATCTCGTACATGTGCATAAACCACAGACAAATTGGCACGCCATAGCAATCTCTTGTATGGCCATGAACATACTAACTTTCCACACAAGGAATTTCTAGAAGCATGAGAGGAAAACTCAGCATTACCAAGATAACTGAAGCAACTGACATCACAAGTTAGTAACTTGGGTTCCATCGGTTAGGGAAATCAGCATCTGGAACCCCATCTCCTCTAAATTGTTTCTTTCCTTAGCCCCACCTATGTGAAAATAGAATAGTCTCCAATCTTGCTTAGTATACATCTAAGTTTAAAAAGAATGTTTTACTAATTTCAATCCAAGGTGCAATCATTTTCTTTCCATAAAAATTTTCAGCACAACTTACAACATGACACTCTTTTGGGATGAGGCAATTTAGCAAGTGAAAAATTAATAGTCCTGGCAGTCTGACAGACACTTTATGTCCTGTACTAGCTGCTGGGATGTGGGCAAATGTCATTGATCATCTAATATAGTTTTATTATATGCATGTGATACATATATTTGTGAAGTATGTCTTTCATGTATATTGTAGGCATAAAATATATAGACTGTCTAATATAATATCCAGTTCATCCTAACCATGAATAGAATATAGTTCCATGGTCACTGTTGCTTTAAGCACTAGACTAATGCTAAGCTGAGACCACCTGGCAAAACATACCACTTTATTGTCTGCAGAATATATTCTAGGATTTTAGAAATCTATAAGCTGTACTCCAAATGAAATTATGATTTTCTAAATACATACTGGAAAATACACGATATACGGCCACAGTTCCCAAACCTATCTCCTCTGGAATTCATTTCTTCAAAACATCCAAAGGAAGCACCTGTAGATGCTAAAAATAAGAACAAAAAGAACTGAAGTAAATTAAAATGCAGAATTCAAATCATTTCACAGAAATAATAGATCCAGTGTGAAAATTACAATGTGATCCCTTGCATTAAACACCGGTGAGCCAGGTATGGTGACACACACCTTTGGTCCCAGCATTCAGGAGGTAGAGGCAGGCAAATCTCTGTGAGTTTGAGGCCTACACAGCGAGTTCCAGGCTAGCTGGGGCTACACAGTGAGAACCTTTAAGAAGAAAAGACTGTTGGGGATTGAACAAAGAGAGTTCTGGATTCAGATTCTGAATTCCAGCCGAGCCAAATACACCATGCTCCGAACCAAACACCTGGTAACGGCAGCACAACTAGGATGTCTCCAGTTTTAGACAAGCAGCTGTGGCCTTCTGCTTCTCTCCTGCAAGGTTTTCTTTTTTGGCTCCTTAATTACTGAGAAAACACAGTTCACGTATTATTATTCCTCCCTCCTGCCACGTCTTCCATGTCTCCATCCCTTACATCCTAGTAAGTATGAAATAAGGATCATTTCAAAATTAGAAAGGACACCACCAACATTCATTTACATCAATATCAATTTTTAATGTAGATTTAGTCATACAAAAGTTGCCTGGTTTGGTAGCGCATGCCTTTAATTCCAGCACTTGGGAAGCAGAGGCTGGGAGAGCTCTGTGAAATCAAGCCCAGCCTTGTCTACAAAACAAGTTCCAAGGATAGAGAGAGACCCTGTCTCAAAAATAAAACAAAAAATTAACAAAAATTTAAATATCTAATTCGCTACCCCTCACCTTGAGGTTGCACGGTTCATGTCAGTCATTCGGAATGAAAACTGAGGTCATTTACTTTCTTTTTTAAAAATTTATTTGTATATTATGTGCATGAGTGTTATGCCTACATGAATGTATGTGTACCTATGTTCCGCAGTACCCAAGGAGGCCAGAAAAGGGTATGAGATCCTCTGGAACCAGAGTTATAGATGGCTGCTAGCAGCCACATGGGTGCTGGAATTTGAATCTGGGTCTTCTGCAAGAGCAGTCAGTGCTCTTAACCACCAAACCACCTCTCCAGTGCCTACCATTGCTTCCTTTCATTACTGTCTACTGACAAGGGAACCCTCTTCAGCAGCTTCCTGGGTTCTTATACCTGGAAGAGCTGATCTACAAATATCACCTCCAGAAAGACAGAATATATACATAGAAGACAAGAAACAATCCACTAACTGTCAGTAATTCTTTTCTTGACAAAGCCTACTCTCTAACAGTAAATAGTTTCTGTTTATATTGTTTCAATAAAATGCTGCTTAAAGTCTAATTTAAACTTCCCAATTGTCCAGAATTATAATCTGAAAAGCTGGCACAAACCTCTTACCTCCGCCTCCTGAGAGTTGGGATGACTGGCATGAGCTGCTTCACTGGCTGCCACAGCGTTTAAAACTCAAAGCTAACATAAGAAACATTCGTAATGAACTCTAAATGCTTTTAGAGAGGTACATATTATTTTCTTTATAAACCTACTTTTCTTGTTCAGGAGCCCAGAGTTGTCTAATCCAACAGCATGCCACAGCCCTGAATCCAGAGTGGTCAGGGTGGTCCACTTGGCCAGGTGGGAAAAGCGGGTGAACACATAATCAGCCAAGTGTTTCCCAGATTTCCCACAACTCAGTGATGCAATATCCTCTTTGGTATCCTCGGCAGTTCAGTTTTCCAGGTTGAGGTTGAAATGCCAGGGCTTGCCTCACTGTTTGGATTCCCGAGGCCCTGCGGCTGTGCTGGACCCCACTGTAGGTCCTGAGGCTGGGATTCTCTGTGCTCCACCTCCACCCAGGAAGGTTGAATAGAGCTTCAGTCGCCCAACCCTCCTAGTCTCTAGAAGCAGGGATTTGGGGCTTTGATCACTGGGTTTTGTACTCCTAACTCAATTTTTCAGACTTTGAACTGAGGCCTACGCCAAACCTAGATGTACAACTCAAGAAAGACAGTGATGAAATTATTGGGACTATTTTTGGCAAACCCTGGCTTCTGGCAGTTACGCTGCAAATGCCAATGGATCCTGAATTTCAGGGTTCACAGTCCAGGGACAGAACTGCAGCCACCAGCTGTGGGGATGTTCTTGGAAAAGACTCAGAAAGATATACTTTTCCCCTATTAGCATCCAGCAAAAGTGGATGAGTTGCTTGGTTTCTGATGTTTTATTTTACTGTTTTCCTTGCAAGTCCTTTGGCACTGGAAGAATACCTGGGCTAGGGATTTCAGGGCACCGTGTAGTCTGGACTACATGAGACCTTGCCTTTAAAAAATTCAACAAAAGGTATCTACTTTTTGCCTTCACTGTTTAATTGCCTGTTTATAGTTCACAGTGCTTTCCTGCCACACTACATTCACACAGCGGCCCTGCAGGGATGATAGGAAGGTGTTTGTATCTCTCCCCTTAGGGGAAGAAATCTAGGGTTCTGCAGGTAGCTACTCCTAAATTTGACTGTTTGAGATTTTGAGATGTACAGCAGATAGAGTTAACAAAAGCATCGTGGTGGGGTGGGTACCTGCCATGACGCTGAGTATCTGGTACAGGGAGCTGTTAAAGGTGAGCTTAGAAACAAAAGAGAGGAGAGAGAGAGAGAGAGAGAGAGAGAGAGAGAGAGAGAGGGGAAGGGAGAGAGGAGAGGAGAGAGAGGAGAGAGGAGAGAGAGAGGAGAGGAGAGAGGAGGGAGGAGAGAGAGGAGAGAGAGGGGAGAGGGGAGAGAGGAGCAGAGAGAGAGGCGAGGCGAGAGAGGAGAGAGGAGAGAGAGGAGAGAGAGAGGAGAGGAGAGAGGGGAGAGGAGAGAGAGGAGAGAGAGAGGAGAGAGGAGAAAGGAGAGAGAGGACAGAGGAGAGAGAGATGAGAGAGGAGAGAGGAGAGAGAGGGAGGAGAGAGGAGAGAAGAGAGAGAGAGGAGAGAGAGGAGAGGAGAGAGAGAGGGAGGAGAGAGGAGAGAGAGGGGAGGGGAGAGAGGAGAGAGGAGAGAAAGAGAGAGGAGAGAGAAAGAAATGAGAGAGAGAGGAGAGAGAGAGAGAGAGAGAGAGAGAGAGCTTCTATCCCAGGAATGTCTAGGGCCGCTCACAGGTATCAAAACAAGCCCTGGACGGAGCCGGCAGGTCTGGGAAGCACCGTCTTCGTCAGGAGGCTGCAACATTGCCGCCACTCTCATGGCCTTGGCTGAAGTTTCAAGAATGAGATACACAGTAAGTAGAAAAAAAAAAAAATCTAAGTACAAAAACTTGGCTCAATAGGCCTTAACATACATAACACGGTGCATGAAATCCAGTGCGGGACAATGGGGGAGTGGGTTCGGAGAGGGGGGTCTAGATATGATTAATATTTATTTATGAAATGCACAAAAATTCAATGCAAATGTACATTAAAAAGTGTGGAAATTTCATAATTAAAATTAAAACTGAAATTCACTGAACCTTATACAATTAATTAAACCTTTGAAGATACCCCCTAGTTTGATAACAAGCCCCCTGGAGCTTTCAGAGATGCCAGGGTAGGGGAAAGTGAGCTGTGGTTGCGTACAGCTGTCTAATCACGAATGAGGTGACTGAACACAGCTATGTAAACACAGATGCCGGCTTGGGTCAGGAATGAGTGTTTGACCCAGCTCCCCTGAGGCAGTATGATGTAGGCAAGCTGCAATGCTCATTTTCTTAGTAAAGAGAACCTGCCCCACTCAGACTCTGATGCCTCTCATCCAAGGGATTTTATAAATTCACCAAGTATACATTCAAACGTACTGTCTCTCCTTATTTTAAGCCATGTTGTAGTGTTTCTACTAAGCATGTGACCTGTATATAGTCCTGTGTTTTTGCTTGGCTGAGCTCACATTCTTTTCCTACTTGACTTAAAACATGAATGTTTTAATAAGTGAATGTAGGGGTGTATGTGACAGGTGTCCCATTAATGAGAAACTTCGTTCTTGCAGTAGTTTGACCAAGATTGGACAGGATCTTGTTCTGAGGTGCGCTGACTCTACTAAGCATGTGACCTGTATATAGTCCTGTGTTTTTGCTTGGCTGAGCTCACATTCTTTTCCTACTTGACTTAAAACATGAATGTTTTAATAAGTGAATGTAGGGGTGTATGTGACAGGTGTCCCATTAATGAGAAACTTCGTTCTTGCAGTAGTTTGACCAAGATTGGACAGGATCTTGTTCTGAGGTGCGCTGACTCCTCTCAGACCTGGCCTCTCAGAACGTTCCTCTCAGAACTGGCCTCTCAGAACTGGCTTCTCAGAACTGGCCTCTCAGACCTGGCCTCTCAGAACGTTCCTCTCCGAACTGGCCTCTCAGACCTGGCCTCTCAGAACTGGCCTCTCAGAACTGGCCTCTCAGAACTGGCTTCTCAGAACTGGCCTCTCAGAACTGGCCTCTCTCTCAGAACTGGCCTCTCTCTCTCAGAACTAGCCTCTCTCTCAGAACTGGCCTCTCTCTCAGACCTGGCCTCTCAGAACGTTCCTCTCCGACCTGGCCTCTCAGACCTGGCCTCTCAGAACGTTCCTCTCAGAACTGGCCTCTCTCTCAGAACTAGCCTCTCTCTCAGAACTGGCCTCTCTCTCTCAGAACTAGCCTCTCTCTCAGAACTGGCCTCTCTCTCAGACCTGGCCTCTCAGAACTGGCCTCTCAGACCTGGCCTCTACGTTCCTCTCCGACCCTCAGAACTGGCCTCTCTCTCAGAACTGGCCTCTCAGAACTGTCCTCTCTCTCAGAACTGGCCTCTCCTACCCAACGAAAGTCTCCTCTCACATTTTTTGAACAAGGTATCGTGCACAGTAAGACAGGAACCATCTTTGATAGGGTTTACAAAGCAAGAACTTGTTTTTCTGACTCTATTAAGAACAGCACACAGAGGCACAGAGAGACGTCATCAGCCTGCGCCCCCGTGTTGCTTCCCGTGTTTGTAAAGGAGACATTTTCAATGTCACTGCTGTCACAGCTCACACAGTACACTGTTCTGAGGCAGGAACATAACTCAGTCACAAATGTTAAAGCCATGCATTCAGCTTAGCTTGTAAGAGTTAAGTACATTGTGATTGCAAACCACACTAGAACTGATTACATTTTGTTTCATAGGAATACATAGTTTTGAATGTTCTCAAGACATATGATTACTCTAGTTTACAAGGCCATGGACAATTTCAGTTTCTTCCCCAGAAAAGTCATTCCTACAGCTCTGTTTCTTTTCTTTCAGGTCAGGTTCAAATGGGACTTGGTTGACTCTGTTTCCTCGTTGTTATTTACTGAGACTCTGATTTTCCTTCTTGTGGTTTCCCCTTGTCTAAGCAAGAACACTAAATGAACTCAGCTTTCCAGATCAGAGTGAATTATGATTGCCTAGAAGTCTTTGAAAATGCTTTGGGAATTCTTGTCTGTTCTGTGGAAACTGTCATACTCTAGCCCCATCAATTGAACATCTCTAGTAGTAATCTAAAACAATCAAAAAAAAAAAGTTGGAAGGGGGTTTGTTATGCTGTTACCTTTTCTTTTACCAATTAAGTCATGGTTCTGTTTATCCTAGTTGTTGTTTATGATGTTTGACCCTGTAGTTAATATTTTTAAAGAACCCTTAAAAGACTCAGGTACTAACATAGATGGTATAAGTTATTGCTTTGATCGGCCTTAAGAAAAAAAGTATGTGCATTCCATTACACTGTTGTCTTTGATGATGGTATACTTTGCTCTGAGTTCCACTAAAATCCCTAACAAGAAAAGCCTTTGTCTTATTTCTTTAAAAAAAATCAATGGTACTTTGGGCTCGGAGATGGCTCATTTAGTAATGGGCTTGCTTCACATGTGTGAGGACCTGAGTCTGGATCTCTAGAATCCACAAAAAAGCTGGACATAGTGGTATATGTTTGTAATCCCAGAAACAGGAAGATGAGAGATTGGAGACAGGTGGATCCCTGGAGCTCACTGGCCAGCCAGCCTGACTTATGTGACAAAGTTCCAGGTCAGTCTTCTAAATATATTTTATTTATTACTTTTATTTTATGTGTATGAGTTTTTTGCCTACGTGTATATAAGTGTACCACATGTGTGTAATACACACAGGGGCCAGAAGAGGCATCAGACACCCTGGTACTGTAGTAAAGGACAGTTGTTAGCTGCTGTGTGGGTACTGGGAACTGAACCCAGGTCCTCTGTAAGAGCAGCCAGTGCTCTTAGCTCCCGAGTCATCTCTCCAGCCCCCAGGTCAGTCTTTTAATATGAGTGTATTATAACCTCATAACACAATTTGACCAGAAACCCATGCTTTGGCAGAGCACAGTGATTTTCATAAAGGACGTGGCACACTTTTATTACCACTTGCCTAGAGGGAGTATTCAGAATGAAATTTCTTGCTCTCAGATGACACCAACTTCATCTGTGTAGAAGCTGTGCTTGTCTAAGCTACAAATGCTCCATCATGAAACGGAGCTACCAAGCTGAGCAGGACCAGCAGTTGGTGGAAGCCCTCCATTGTCTTCTGTCAGAGGGCGCCCTATCTTGTTAGTGGGCTCTTGAAGCCTCACTTTGCCCTACTAAAAAACTGTTTCCTTTATGTTTACACTGAACCACATCACCACAAATTAAGTGTCCTTGTGAAAAGTTGCATTTCTACTTGAAATTTCTTCCTTTTGCAAGCAAGAATGCCATACAAGTTCAGAAATCTTTTTGTTGTTTCTCATAATGAAGAAAATGATTAGTTATCTTTACAATTTAAAGATGCCAAGCAAAACTTTAGTCATTAACAGATGATATTTATATTTTTGTCCTATGGAACCGAAAGACTTGGAATAATCAGATTTTTAGAAACTAAGAAGAAAATTATAGTCCTTACGTTTCCCAAGTAAAGCTGTACACTGTTTGTCAAAAGTTCGACACAATCCCTGATAACAGAATGCTCCACCTGAGTCACAAGGCTGTCCATCACGAGCATAAGTGTCAGCCACACAGTAGGAGAGGTTCCCATTACAGTACTCTGGAAAGTCACATTCATCAACTGTCTTTCTGCAAGGTGTGTCAATTGGTTCTAACTAGGAGGAAGAGAGCATACAGAAAAATTACTTAGCGATGATGCTTCATATTTTTCCTCTTTAGAATCTAAATAGTCATCCCGGTTTTTTCTTAAGTTGTTAAAATCGAAAAGATTTGCATCATATCAAGATTTAGACAATTGAATTTCGTGTCTGTTTAAAAATCTCAGTGTGATACTTTGGTATGAGATACAGTAAACTGCTGTGTCTGTCAGAAAACACAGATTGCACAGTTGTACTCAGGGAGGCCTATGAATCATGCCCCCACCCCAGTCTCAAAGCAGAGTCGTTAATAAATTTCTGAGCTTGTGTGAATGTGGTTTATTCATGCAAAAGTTATTGCCTTTAGGTACGGCAGCATCTGCTAAAACACTTGTGTAGGTGGGACAGAAGCTAGTAGATCTCTTTAAAGTTATAGTCAATATGAATCACTAAATCTATGCTATACCCAATAATGGAAAAGAAAAATCAAATGCATTATTAATACGATCATTTTTAATGCAATAAAACTGTTTAAAGTGTACACAACTCATCAAAAAGTTTTTCAAAGTTAGCTTTCTGGGCTGTGTCTTATCCCATAGAGGGAAAAATATAGATCTGACTTTTTTGTAGTTCCCTGTCTAGAACCGGTAATGCTAATTACTCTTGCCTTTACTTCTCCTTCACATCTCCTATTCATGACTCAAGGACTTTTTTCCCCTTAGAGACAAGAGTCATTCAATTTGGGAGTCTTTTAGATAGACCCACTGAAGGGGTACTCCAATTGCCTCACCCTGCATCCATGTTCAAACCAGAGCCATCTGCGTCGCTGCTCCCTATTGGCAATTTGGGTAACGTCTTCAGAGGATGGTGTGATAAGAATAGGAAGTAGGAATTGGCTAGGCAGTTAGGATAAAAAAGACCCCAAAGAAAAGTAGCCAGTTTCTTGGCTAAAAGTCAGAATGTCCTTGGGCCTCTTAGCAACCAACATACTTTATTCCAAAGGCCAATATGCACAAGTCAATAAATGTAATAAATCATATAAATTGACTCAAAGACAAAAACCAATAGAAGCATCATCTCAATAGATGCAGAGAAGGCCTTTGACAAAATTCAGCATGCATTTATGTTCAAAGTCCTAGAGGGAACTGGATTGGAGGGAACATACCTCAACATAATTAAAGCCATATATAACAACCCCACAGCCAACATCATTCTAAACAACCAGACAAGGGTGTCCACTGTCTCCACTCCTTTTCAAGATAGTGCTTGAAACTCTTGCTAGAGCAATAAGACAGGAGAAGGAAGTTAAAATAATACTAATTGGAAAAGAAGAGGTCAAACTATCCCTTTTTGCAGATGATGTGATACTATACCTAAGAGATCCCAAAAGTTCCACCAGAAAACTCCTAGAACTGATCAACACTTTCAGTATAGTGGCAGGTTATAAAATCAATCTACAAAAATCAGTAGCCTTTCTATAAACTAATAATAATCAGTTGGAGAAAGAATACAGGGAAATGCTCCCATTCACAATAGCCTCAAAAAATAAAAAATTTAAAAAATATCTCAGAGTAAACCTGACCAAAGACATTAAAGACCTCTGCAATGAAAATTTTAAATCTTTAAATGAAGGGATTAAGGAAGACATCAGAAGATGGAAGGACCTCCCACGCTCATGGATTGGAAGAATTAATATTGTTAAAATGACCATCCTACCAAAAGTCATTTATAGATTCAATGCAATCACAATCAAAATCCCCATGACATTCTTCACAGAATTAGATAATTTTTTAAAAATCCTAAATTTCATATGAAGTACAAAAGATCCCAGATAGCCAAAGCAACCTTGAGCACTAAGAGCAATGCTGGGGTTGTTACTGTACCCAATTTCAAACTATATTACAGAGCTATAGTCATAAAAACAGCATGGTATTTGCACAAAAATTGATCCATAGAAAAATGGAAGATAAAGACCCAAACACAAGTGCATGGAATTTCAGCCACCTGATACTTGACAAAGGGGCCAAGAACACACAATGGAGGAAAGACAACATCTTCAACAATGGTGCTGGCAAAACTGGATCTCCACCTGTAGAAGAATGAAACTAAATCCTTATCTTTCACCTTGCACAAAAGTAAACTCCAAATGGATCAAAGACCTCAATGTGAAGCCTGAAACTCTGAAACTGTTGGTAGAAAACATTGGCAATAACCTACAACATACAGGTGTAGGAAAGGATTTTCTAAACCAGACATCAGTTGCTCAGGAAATAAGGTCAAGAATCAACAAATAGAACCTCATTAAACTCAAAATCTTCTGTACAGTAAAAGAAACAATCAATAAAGTGAAGAGAAAACCCACAGAGTGGGAGAAAATCTTTACCAGTGACACATCTGACAGAGGTTTAACATCCAGAATATATAAAGAACTCAAAAAACAAAGAATCAAGAAAGCAAGTAACCCAATTAAAAGATGGGCTAAGGATCTGAACAGAAAGGTCTCAAAAGAAGAAATAAAGACAGCTAAGAAGCATCTTAAGAGGTGTTCAACATTATTAATAATTATGGAAATGCAAATTAAAACCACTTTAAGATTTCACCTTACCCCAGTCAGACTGGCTAAGAACAAGACAAGAAATGATACCAAATGTTGGAGAGGATGTGGGGAAAAGAGAATGCTCATTCACTGCTGGTGGGATTCCAAACTTGTTCAACCCCCATGGAAAGCAGTGTGGAGAACCCTTAACAAAGTAAAAATGAACCTACCATTTGACCAGGTTATACCACTCCTTGACATATATGCAAAGGGCTCATCCTCTTGCAGAGACACTTGTACAACCATGTTTGTCGCTGGTCTTTTCACAATATCTAAGAGATGGAAGCAACCTAAGTGCCCCTCAACTGATGAGTGGTTAACAAAAATGTGGTACATTTACACCATGGAGTTCTACTCAGCAGTAAGGAAAGACAAAATCATAAAATTTGCAGGTAAATGGATGGATCTAGAAACTGTTATACTAAGTGAAGTAACACAGACTCAGAAAAACAGAAGACACATATTTCTCCCTCCTATGTGGCTCCTAGCAGCAAATCCTTTTATGTGAGCATGTACCCAGATGTAACTCCAGGAACCAGAATAATGAAAAGGAATCAGGGAGGTAAAGGAAAAGAAAGAACCTGAGAGAGAACAGTAAGAGAGAGGTATTGCTAATGAATAAATGGATAAAAATGGGGTTAAATGGGAGGGGAGGGTTAGACAAGGAACCTTGGGGATAAAGGAAGAGAAGGAGCTCCAGAGAGGTGGCACCATAGGAAATGGATATTATCAAGGGAGAAATGGGGGAAATGGGGCAACACTTTAAATGGGGAAACGATGGCAGAAGGGTTAGACAGGTAGAGAGAGGGAGGAGAGATGAATAATGCCTAGCTACTTTGAAAACACCGGAGGGAATCATATTAGTCCAACACCCTAATGACATATTATACATACAGTGTCTCTACATATGTCCATGTGTATAGTTAAAGGTTACATAACAAGAACCAGTGCCAGACAGGAGAAACCTTCCATGAGTTGTTGGCCAGGGTGGTCCAAGAGTCTCCCACAGCCCTTCATGGCTTCCCAGAACTTGAAGGTAAGAACCTATTGCTGAAGACAGAACAAGCTTTGGACACAGGATTGGGAGCAGTGGAGCTGCAACTGATCTGAAACCACTTCCCCTGAAGACGAGCTTCATAACTTCAGAGAGTAATATGAAGGTGCCAAGGGAAAACATCAACAGATGGTCCAACACCAGCTTCAAGACCAAATAACCACATCAGTGGCTGGCACAGAGTATGACAATGGTGCAGTAGTGGCACTTTTATCTTGGGGGCAATCAACAGCTACTTAATTGGACTAAAAGCCCACTCAATGGGAGGAAACTCAAGTGTGGTACTGTAAACATAACCAAATACTCATGGCTGGAGAGGTCATAGATCTTAGAGAAAACCCACAACTGTCACTCCCCTAATGTAATTTCTTACTATGCACAAAATATGTATCCTTATATTTATAGAAAAATATTCCAGTCACCACTCATCAAAGAAGCTTATTTTGCATGAGTTGAAGACCATTACCAAGTACCACAACTGGTCTCACACAGACATTGTCTATGAATTTCCCAGGCCTAAATGACACATCCACAATGCAAGCTCTACACCTGAAGTACACAGAACATAGAACGGGTAAAGAAGAGGACACTAATGAATCTTTCAATTGTCATTAATGAAGCTCCCTCATACAACAAAGGGCCAGGGACACAAAAGGTCACAAATGGCCAAAACGTAGAGATTAAGAGTCTACAGAATGCTGGTCCTTGGACAGGACTCTTATATTAAACTTCACCCACCCAGGGCTCAGGGACCATCATGGGATAATGGGCAGAAAGACTGTAAGAGCCAGGGAGGAGGTGCATGACCGTATGGAAACAGTCCTACAAGCTCCTGGGAACCTGCTCATGTGATTCTATGTCAATGATGTCAGCATACACAAGTCCTATGCAAACTCAGGCAGACAGTAACCCACCATAGAACTGGGGAAATGAACAGCAGGCCCCAATCTCAGCTGAAGAAACATTGGCGAATAGATTACTGCTGGGTGAGGAAAAGCTGATCTTCCTAGAACAAGGGACACTAAATAGACTGACTAGACCTCGTGGATGGACTTGCACTGGGGAACATCTGGGAACACTGACTTGACACACTGAGCCTCAGCACAGATGACAGAATGTATGGGTTCCAGTGGCGGATATAGGAGGGTGCCATTGGGGATGGGGGTACAAAGGTGATTAAGAATGCTTGAGATGTTCTGCATGAAATTCACAAAAATTCAATAAAAACAAAACAAAAGTTGCAGATTTAGAATTACTATCAACTGCCCTGAAATTTCCATCATCATCATCATCATCATCATCATCATCATTATTAATTATTCATTATTATTATTTTGGTTTGGTTAGTTTGGCTTGTCTTTTTTTTTTTTTTTTAATTTTTTTGAGAAAGGGTCTCCCTATAGCCCCCGCTG